CCCCCCCCCCCCCCCCCCCCCCCACCTGCAGTTCTCGAGTAGCCGCGCCACGCCCAGCAGCAGAGGCCGCCGCGCCGATGCCGATGGCACTGCCTGCGACTGCACGACAGACAGGATGAGGGAGGCCACCTTGACCAGACGGACCGGGTTGGCGAAGCCGCCTGCAATGGTGGGGCCTGCCAGATACGATAGAAGGGACTGCAGAGTGGGGGCAGAGGCCACACCGCCCGATGGCGATATGATCAGACGGGGCAGGGCGCTGAGGTGCTTCTCCGAGAGCTCGGATGGTGGCCGCTGGAGGAAGGCGTCCAATGCAGCATCTACGGCCCTCCGGGAGAGGACACCACACAACCGCTGAAACAACTGAGAGCAGCACGGAGACGCAACATGCACACCGTATCATGGTGGGGATTCTTTGCATTTATGTCTGCTGACCTCCTGTGCCAGTCTGTTGTCTAGAAGGTCGGCAAACATCGGTGCCAGGAGAGCTACCGCCACGGCACGCTCCTCCACTCTCACTAGGTCCTCGAGTGACTTGGCAATCTCCTCCACCTCCCCCCTCCCGCACGGTGATCCACCTTTGACCTGAGGGGGACAGACAAAGCACAGGGGAAAATGGTCGATATGTGAGTGGGCTCTATGTGTGCACACCACTGCAGGGAGGATGATGGTCTGTATGAGAGTTTCGATGCCACGTAGGGGCACCGCCTCCCGAAGAGACGCGGCCTTGGCCAGCTTCACCACACGGATAGCGACGGACACACACGTGCCCACGTCGTCGTGTCTCTTGTCCAGTGCCGCCCGCTTCTCGTCGCTGGTCTTGCCCTCCAGCTCCTCCGCATGGCAGCGCTCATACACTCCAGACAGAATACCCTCGGCAACCTGAAACGGACAAAAGGTCAAGGACGACAGCGTGAGCTGCCGTGCCAATTCTCCCACGAAGACAGGTGAAACGCGCTACGCCCATCGACGGTATGTCCCACTCACCGTTTTCCATTGGCTTGATTCCGCCCCGCACTCAGCGATGACGTCTTTGAAGAGTCTGCGCATCTTCCGATCCTGCGGGTCCTCGTACTCGTCACAGGCGATGTCCATGTCCATGTCCTCTACATCCTCTTGCATGTCCCCTAACCCCTCCATGCCCCCACGGCTAATTCGCGCTTCCTTCTGGCCCTCTGCATCGCCACCACACAGCCCCAGCGCCTCTGCGACCACTCGGCCAAGCTGGCGGACCGGACGGTCACCCTCGTCAACATCCACGTCCATTTCCGCGACGCCATCTGCCTCCGCCCCGTCTGCCGGCTCCTCCTTGACGTGAATGGCGTCGGCAGGCGATGCCTGTGGAGGGGCCCCCTGCCGGCTGGCTGGGGGTGAGTCGTCTTCAATGAGAATGACACTGCTGGGCGTCAGCCGGCCTACTCCGGCTGCTGCTGGTGCTGGTGCTGGTCGTGCTGGTGGTGCTGGTGGGGCGGCATCCATCCTCGCCCGCTTGGCCACGCCGCCAGCAGCACTGGGGGATGCGAGCGACAGTGTCTCGCCTTGGGGATGGGAGACCGCCTGCCGCCGCTGGGCTGCCTTTGCGAGGGCAAAGGGACGGGGTTCCTCTTCGCGCGAGGACACGCTCTCGATGTAGGCGTCCCGCAGCAGCGGCGTGTCGAACAGGGCGGGCACCGTCACGCCGTCGTCATGGACCGTCCTCTCAGCCGGCAGGGATCGTGCTTCTCGACCAGTGGATCTGGGGAAGGCCGAGAGGATGTTGAAGAGGTACTTGGTGTAGCTGTTGTCGGGCATCTTGGCGGCGAGAGCGTGGCATCGGCGGCGAAGGTCGAAAGTGAGCCGTTCAGCGGGGGTGATGTTGAAGCGGGGATCCAGCACACCGCACACGCACGCCTGGAGGATGTTGTCAGTCATATCCCAACTCGGATCTGCAGAGGAGAAAGAGGAACGAGGCGAAGTGTGCGCTGAGTGGGTTACAGCTGTGGGCTCTGTGCTCACGATTTGGTGGATTCATTGTCTTCTCTAGCTTCGATATCAGCTTGGAAATGGTCTCCTCCACACTTGACCTGTTGCAAGCAGGGAGGAAAGACACGCACGGGGCCCTCGCGGGGAATTGTGATGGGATGCCTACTTGTTGAGAAGGTTCCGATAGGTTCTCTGCAGCTCCTCATTCTGGTTCAGAACGAGATTTGACATGGGGAGGGCCTCGGCGCGAAAGAACAGATGTTCTCCAGAGTGCATTTACATCATGGCGAGGAAGCCCAGGCAGCGTATCTTGGGGACGAGTCGTCGTGTGCGCATCAGAGTGTATAGAGGGCCGTAGACAGGCGTGACGATGGATGGCATGGACGGGTCCATCCATCCGTCTGTCTGTCTGTCTGTCTGTCTGCATTGCGTACATGGAGTGACAGACATAGATCATTGGCCCGACTGACTGCCTGCCTGACTGTACCCCACTCTCACACGCCCAGTCATCCCATCAAGCCACCCAGCACATCAAGCCTCTTTCGCTCTCTTGACACAATCCAAAATACTCGTTGGTCGACCGTCCCCCTTCCGCTCCCCTGCAGCACCCGAAAAACGCATCGCTCCAATGATTCTTGCATACCAAAGGCGATGCACAGCATCGTGACTTGTACAAAATGTCACGTGCGTCATGTCATGGACGGAAAATCGCCGTCTCTTTCCTTGTGCAATGCAAGACCCATACGCCACACCCGGATACCCTTTGCGTCGAGGTCTTTTCACTAAAATGACTCTGTCACACACACGCAGAAAAACTTGTCCCGTCAGATACACACACACAGAGATCCCCAATAAAAATGCATATAAATGGGTATGTAGTATGCACGAAAAAAGGAGTCTGTTGGCATAGATGAGTCCAGTCTCTGTCTATGCGTGTACATGAATGTCTTCATCGGTGATGGCGGGTGCGTCGGCCAGCCGAGGGATCACCACCACAGGCCGAGGGATCACCACCACAGGCCGAGGGAACACCACCAGCAGCTGCAGCCGCCGCAGCACCAGCGCCAGACGTCTCTCCGCCTGCACAGCACACATGGGATACAGTCAGCCAGTCAGAAGTGCGTGTGTGTGTGTGTGGATATGTATTACTCTGACCTACCTTCTGCCGTGAGTGTGTTCTTCCATTGCTGTCTGGTGCGTCGGGCGTGTTGTCGGACGTGTTGAACGATGCGCGCCTCGTAGTCTCCCTGCCCCTGGTAGAAGGCCATGGCCAGGGTGCTGTCGACGGGGTCGACGTAGTCTTCGTCAATACACACACACACATAGCAAGAGAGACCTCGGGAAAGTGTGCAGGGAAGCAAGGCGACACTGTTGGAGTGTTTCAGACCTGGGTTGAGCAGCAGGCCGTAGACGTTCTCCAGAATGCTTCTCACAGTACTGCACACACATCCAATGCGCACACACATGAGAGGACGGTCGATGGCCAAAGAGCGTGTGGTGCTGATGTACCCCACCTGTCGGTGGTGTAGGCCCGGCCGAGTATTGGGTGACAGACTTTGCCGTATGCGTTGACGTTGGCGTGTTGGATGGGCGTCTCGAAGCGCAGCTCAGGGGGACGGTTGGGGTAGTCGGCGGGGAAGATCATGTACAGCAGCCACGTGCCGCCCTTGTACACCGTACCATCAGGACCCTCCTGCACACACACACACACACACAATGAACACGTCGGCCCGCCCAGGGCATCGCCGTCTTTGTGTTGCCCACGAGTACCATGACGATGCGCCAGAAGCCAATGTCCGTCTGCGACGGGTAGACGTCGATGGCCGGGTGGGGATGCTGCAGCAGCCCCCGCATCTCACGCATCAGACGACGGCTGCGCTCCTGGTTGCCACCGCCGCCCTCACCACCACCACCACCCGACACACGTGCCGCCCGCTGACCCCCGCCCTCTTGAGCGGCATGGCCGTGCGACGCGATGCGGGCGCTCTGGCGCCTGCCCCTCACCCATTGCGACCCCTCTCCCTGTCCCTGCCCCTGCCCGCCCTCTCCGTCTTCATCTGCTTGGTTGTTGGCCTGGAGTGCGGCTGCGAGGCTGCGGAATGTCTGGTTGGCCAGCAGCTGGGCCACCTGGCGGCGGGGAGGGACGGTGGTGTCGTCGCATACGTCGATTGGGAAGCGGGTGGAGTTGGCGAGCAGCCTGGAGCACACGAATTCGCTGTTGGGCAGAGTGTCGGGCCGCAAGTTGGGCGGCCGCTCGGATGCTGCATGCACACAGACAAGTGACTCCAGAGGATGGGCAAGGAATCTGTCTTTGGTGAATGCACGGCCTTGACTGACTCATTTACCGCTGAGCATGACTTCGAGTTCGCAGAGTTTGAGTGCATTGCGGATCGAGTCGGGCTTGAACACATAGCCGCCGGTGGCCTTGGCCAGATACTTCAACTGACCAGAGAACACACCCATGGTAGATGGACGTTCACCCTCTGGTCAAGAGAGAAAGTATTCCTGGCTGACCTGGTCGTTGTCTGTGCCTCCTACGATGACGGCGTCGCACAGCACATTGCTCTGCCGCAGCGCCTTCGACTCAGAGAACCTGCCACACACCACACAAATACACACACATGGCGTCATCCGTCCTGTGCGTGTATGTGTGTGTGGTGGGCACCATGTGGTGAAGCTGCGGTTGTCTTCACCGTCGCTGAGGACGATGATGCGAAGCTGGGCCTTCTTACGGGAGGGCTTGGCCGCCTTCCACTTGACCAACTCCTCGCGAGCCCTCTTGACAGCATCGAAGATGGCGGTTCCACTTGACCAACGAGCGTCATCCACTGCACGCCTGAAACGCTCCAGATACGGACCTGCGCCGCACACAACACACACCACATGTGGCACACACAGGGGATGGTGAGGCCATGGGTGGATGTCGCTGTGACGGTGTGTGTGTCTTCCTTACTGAGTTGGCATGTGTATCTGATGTTGGTTGGGTCAGAGAAGAGGATGAGTCCGAGGCAGTTGGGGGTGTCGTAGGCCTCAATGCGGTTCACCAACGTCTGGGCCATGGAAGGAAGGAGGGAGGGACACTCATCGATGGATGACCCATCTTCACGTGTGTGAGTCTATCTGCCTGTCGACCCACCAACCCACTCCCCCGCCCGCTTACATACCGAGAATAGCTGTGCCACGACGCGGAGTCTGCGCATAAATGCGTCCTCGCGGAATGGCCTCGGCCGGCTGTCGTACTGGTCCTTGACAAAGGTGGTCCGCTTCGACATGGAAGAGGAGCAGTCGAGCACCACGATGATTGCCTCGTTGATATGCCGCTCCACCAGCTCGCCCTCGCCCATCTCGCCAACGTGAGACGATACCTTGTCGGCCAATTGCTGCAAATCGAAGACCAACTCACACCCCCGCAAAGGCCGGTACATGACGCGGCCACTCCCACATGGCTCCATCCCTGCACACACATGAGGCAGGCCAGACAGGGGAGGAATCGATTGACTGGTTCACGGTCCCTGGCCACGTACGTGCCCGTCGCGTGTGTCATCCCTGACCCACCCACCCACCTCTGTAGACTGCCGTGCGAAGGTCCTCGTCGATGGTCAGCGCTGGAGCTTGTGCCTGCCCCAGAGCGGCCGGACTGACGAGCTGCAGACACGTGACCTCCCTCGGTCTGGCAGCATCCTTCTTGACCATATCCCACTGGTACGCCAGGCTGCGCAACGCCGTGTCCATCTCTCCCTCCTCCATGGCCTCGTCCTCAGGGGGTAGCCACACGAGCACCTCCATGCAGCTGGGAGGGGTCGCCTGCAGCAGAAGGGCCATGTGCTTGGATGGGGAGGGCACTGATGAGGAGGAAGATGACGACATTGACTCGTCGCGGAGGCCGCTGTACAGCTTCATCAAACGATCGCGGACTGAAAAGAAGGGATGCATGGAGAACAGATGAGTGGGGCCCTGCCGTACGTACGTAAGTAAGTCTATCTATCGTGTTGCCTGCCTGCCGTCCTACTATGCATTCACCCACCAACCTGTGAGGTTGGATTCTTGGACATTTTCGCTGTAGACTGGGCGTGTGAGGCGGGCGTGGGATGTGGCACACGTGAGGGGCACCTTGCGGTAGGCCTCGGTGTCGCCATCCTGGCTGAGGCCACGACTCGGGAGAACGTGGAGCAGCACACGGGAGTGCTCGAACAACTGCTCGTCGGGAATGGTCGATGGGGCCATCTCACGAAGCAACTGCAAAATGGACAGCGAGGCACGGGTGGGCCCTGAAGTGAGACGGCAACGCCTTGGTTTGGACGTACCTTCCACATGACTCTGGCGACGAGTGCCTTGTCTGCCGATCCGATCTGCTTGGCGGTGCCAGTCTTGGCCGACAGAATCACACGCATGGCGTACACAGCGGGCGGGAACGACACGACGGCACGGAGGTGACCTGCAGGACACGGAACACGGCATTAGGAATGCCATTTGTTGCTATTTCCTCCTCCCTCTCTCCATCGCTTCGCATGCACCTACCTGTGAGTTTGTTGATGGATGATGCATCGGCCTTCTCGGCGAGCACATAGAGGGAGGCCAGGAGGTCACTGACGCCCTTGGGGGTCTGCATCTTGACGTTGTTCTTGGCATTCATCGGCAGCCCCCACTCAGACGCCGCCGCAAACACAGCCTGACACACAGGAGAGAAACAGCAATACACAAACAGTCGCCCCCCAGCAGTCTTGTTTGTCTTACATCGAGGCCCCCGTTTCCCTCCTGGCCGCCCTCGTCCTCGTCGCCATCCTCTTGGTCTTCACTGTCGACGTCGATCACCTCCCCATCGCTGTCCGTGTCCATCGCCGCTGGCGCAACGGCAGCCGCAGCGGCAGCCGCAGCACGGCAGCCGCAGCCGCTGCTGCTGCGGGCGCCTCTGTCGGGCTACTGTCCTTGTTCTTCTTCTTGGTGGTGTCAGTGGTGGTGGCGAGGGCCATGGTGGGGCGGACGTTGACGTAAGCCGTCACGTCGGGTGAGAGGGCCGGCACGTACTTGAGGTGGTCGATGAGCTGCTGCACCGTCCACTTGCCGCTGTACGAGGGCATGCGATGGTAAGCGCTGAACACAGAGAGGGAGGGAGGGAGGGATGGAGGGGAATGTTGGGAGGGGTCTGTCTGTGGGTGTCGATCTCTTCGATTTCACCTGAGTATATCGACCACGAAGCGAGCGTCCCCCAGAGGCGCCTCGGTCACGCTGAGATGGATGGGCGTGTTGCTGTCGTCGGTGCCGCTGCGTGAAAGCGCGAGTGCGATGATGTCCACCACACTCAGGCTGGGGTCGCGAAGGCGCATCTCACAGTTGTCACCATCCTCACGCAACGACAGGCGAACACGATCCGACAACAAACCTGAACCACACACACACACAATACATACATATAAGAGAAGCAGTGCATCCCATCCCTCGCCGCCCCCACCGTTCCTCCACACCCATACCTACCTGATGCTTTCTGTATCTTGTGGCTGAGCGTCTTGAGCTTGTGGTCGCTGCCCGCCACCAACTCCATGTGCCGACTGGTCTGCGTGCCCTGCTTGACGGTGTAGCCCACGGGCAGCTGCAGCTTGAGCTTCACACTCAGGGGGTGGTGACGAACCGTGCACAGGGTGGCTGTGATGCACGGCAGGGGAGTGTCAGAGCCGCCCCGCTGGTAGGTGGTGATCTGGGCGGTCGCCCGCAGCTTGATGCCCACAAACTCGAGAGACTCATGCAGGGCAATCGAGCCCAGAGGAATCGTCAACTGAAGCAGGCAGGAAGGTGGTTTTCTTGTGCATCAATATATCACTGGGCAAGCAAGAGCGTTGCCGCAGGTGCCATAGGTACCTGTCCGACACGCAGGACGCGCAGCCCCCACTGGGCGTCATTGAATCCAACCGCACGCGCCAATGCTTCCGGCAATTGCCTGCACCACATCACACATGCAGTGCACACATCGCGTTCGTCCAGCCATCCTCTCTCCGTCCGTGGAGTATGCCTACTTGCGTGTGGTGTTGCTGTTGAGTCTGATGACCACCCGCTGCCAGTCGGCCTGGCCACCTCCCACACCACACACTGTCGACGACGGCATCAACACCTCCAGGTCGAAACTGTTGGCACCGACCGCAGCTGTGGCGGCCTGCGGCTGGGGTAGACTGAACCGCCAGTAGACCTGACACGACGGGCAGGTGCGCAGGCCGGTCGTCTTCATGCGCGCGTCGAAGTGGCTGCACAGACAGTGCCCTGAATGGAAGGCGACAGAGAGAGGCGAACCTATGTGTGTATGTTAGCCTGTCAGTGCATGTTTGTCGCCCCTCCCCCGCCCCTTACTTACAGTGGTATTTGTGGTTGCAGGATGTGTTTTTGACGATGGGGCAGCTGTCAGCCTTCGGCAGCTTCTTGGGCGCCTCCCCACTGCCGAGCGTCACCAGCGTCAGGTCAGCGCACTGAGCCGCCATCCCGCCTGCGGCACCCGCTCTGCCGCCCTGCGAGCACTGCAGACACACCGCCTCCAACAGCTGACGGCAAAACCCACAACGGTCGCCAGTGCCAACGACTAACACACACACACACAACCATCCATCCATCACAGTGCATGGCTTACTCTTCACGTGTCGTGTTGTGTGGCTATCCATACCGTCACTGCGATTGACTAGGTCCGCCTCATCAAATCGATAGGCCATCTTGGCCCCCGCCGCACACCGACAGTCGCTGTCACAGTCGCCACACGCTCCGAACTCACCCACGTTGGACCGCACGATGTCGACGGGTTTCTTGTTCTTGCGGGTGGGTCTGGCAGCGGCGGCCGCCGGGATGTCCCGCAGGGCCAGCTCCTCCTCGAGGATCTGCTGCTTCAACTCGTCCACCGTGGCCCGGTTGGACACACTGACGGTGCTGGTGCGGTCGAGCGTGGCGTACGTGAACGACACCTGACACACACGGACACACGCATGGCATGCAGCGCGGATGAATGAGCTCTGCCGCCTGTCGTGTTTGTGTTGGGTGCACCTCTGTTTCCTCCTCGTCTGTTTCCATTTTGATGTCCACTGATCCATTCCCCTCCACAGCAGCAGCAGCCGCAGCAGCAGCCGCTGCTGGTGCCCCCTTGAGCTGCTTGGCTTTGTGTTCTGGCCCTTCGTGGCTGTCGTCACCTCCTTCGTCTGCACCGTCGACAGAGTGAGGTCGCTTCCGGCCGCGGGTGAGGGGTGGCCCTGCCGCAGCTGCTGCTGGTGGGGCGAGGGGTGGAACGAATGCTGGAACTGCCACAAACTTGTCACCATCTTCGCTGCAAGAAGGGAACAGAGAACGATGGGCGGCGTGCATTTGCCGGTGTTGTGCTTTTCTTGTTACCATGCCTCTCTGATGTTGATGTCAGCATCGTAGGTGTCACCGTTGACAAGCAGGTGCTCGACGACCAGCCGCTGTGCGCGATTGGCCTGAAAGGCAGGGTTGGTCGCAATCTTTGAGTTGACCTGCAACCCAACCACAGCAGTAAGTCGCCACGCACCAACAAGCAGATGACCACGTCACACGATGAATGGCGCTCCCTGTGGCTGGTGACTCACTTTGCGCAGCACGTCCGCCGCCGTGGTCTCATCGTTGACAGTGACAACGACCTTCGAGCCGCGCTCCTCGACGGCAACGCCGACGATGTTCTTGGTGAAGGTCATTGATGGAAGATCACACAATCAATCCCACTGACGACGCGTAGCTCATCGTCGTCCTGCGACGATCTGGCGCGTAGGAATTCAAACATGATCTGACACTTGTAAATTCTTCGAGACTTCAATCGGTACCTTCAGGCGATGTGTTGTTGCTTTGACCTTAAGGTCAGTCGCCGTCGTTGGGTCGAAGCCAGCAGAAGTGCAGATGGTGACGAGGTTGCCCCTATGACACGATGCGGCTCGCATGCAACACTTCCGCATAGGCCTCCAGGAGCCTTGCATGTGCAATACGTTGTGCAATCAGCCGACGCTACATTTTACGACACCACTGCAAAACACGCGGCACAGTTGAATCGGTTTAAAGGAGGCGAGTCCCCGACCCCCCGACGCAGGAGGGAATCCCCCTGTGCAACGAATGCAACCGGGCCTGACGTTTTTGCTGTGGCTCGCCCAGTGGGCAAGAAGCGTCCGATCAGGGCTTGCTGCTAGCCGTTTTTTTCGCTTCCAAGCTATTCAGCTTGACACACTGAAGCAAGGCGAGTCAGTGAGGTTGGTTGGGAGAGATTCCCTTCCGTAGAAGCGCTCACCGCGCCCATTGGCTTTACTCACTGATGCGCTGACTCTGACTGCCTCGTGAATGATGGTTGGGAGCGTGCTTGAGATCGGAAGAACCACCTCGAGATCTGCTGGAGCACACGCAAGGGGACGGCAAATGACGTCTTGACTTGTCTTGGAAGCGTGCAGAACCGCAACGGAATCAGCTACAGAAAAGCGCAAGCAGCATCTCATGATATTCACATTCAAGCCAATACAAAATGTAAGCAGCGGTATTCATAAGAACCCTGTAGCATCTCTCTCTGTCTGTGCGGGCTCCTATGCTGGCTGCCTCTGCTGCACTCCCTGTGTCTCCCATTTGTGTTCTGCCTGCTCAGCGCCCCCCTTGGTTTGCGCTGTGACAGCCTCCTGTGGTGGCGGGGGAGGGAGGGACTTGGCTGAGCTGGGCATGGACGACGGCAACAAAGCGGGCATTGACTGAAGAATCGACTGGGCGAGAGGCGGGATGACGTTCTGCAGCCGATCGGCCCAGCTGACGCCGTTCTCGATGGCAACTCGGAGGCTGAGCTGGTGAATGGTGTGGGGCTGCTCGGTGGTGAGGAAGGGCTCGCAGATCCGCTCCATGTACTCGTGAAGGAGCTCGCCCATCAGCACAGAAAGGCCCTCCAGCCCCAGGGCAAAGAGGTTGGCCGCCTCACTCACCCACATCTTGGCCTGGCCCCCCTCCTCAACGTACAGGCATGTCCCTCGTCTTGCCCTCCAGCTCGTCGACCTTTTCCTCATCAGTGAGGCCGCACATGGTGTCCCAGCCATCCCGGGTCACCATGGCTGCCCCGCTCGCCTGCTCCGCCCTCCCCTTGGCCCGCTGGTCTGCCCATGTCTTGGTCAGCATGACGGAGAACTCGGGCGTGTACACGGCATACGTACAGCTGTTGGTTTTGATGTCGCAGTCCGCGGACTCTCACATCTGACGGCCGGACTCTGAAAGAGAAGACACCACACACAAAATGACAGCAGCCGACACATACACATGACGTTCATCCCCCACGTGTGTTTGTGAGTATTGGTCTTACCATGCCCTCCATCCTCACCTGCCAGCTCCAGCCCTCTAAACAGGCGCTCCTCAGTCCCCTCCTCGTCCACCTGCCTCTCCGCCTCTCTCTCTCCCGCCTCCTCCCTCCCGGCCAGGCCGTCCGATGTGCCGGGCGACTCTCCCTCATCGGCTGTCTTGTTGGCGGTGTCGGCGCCCTCCTCTGCCGGCGACGCGTCTTCTCGCCTGACGTCCTTGACCAGCGGCTCCCCCACCATCCCCACACCCTCGACAACAAGCCCGTTGGTCTCGCCATGGCCTGACACATCACCGGCATCCTCGGTGGCTTGGTTGGGGTCGGCGAGAGGCGATGGGATGGATGCTCGTGTGGTGGTGCCCCAGTGGGCATCGAGAATGCGTTCCTCCATCTGCATCAGCCGCCCGTCCATGGTGACGAGGCCCTGGGGCAGCCGCTCCATCCGCTCCCACGGCATGGGCCTCACGCAGTCCACCACCAGCTCCCGCATCATCACTCCCACCTCTCTCGCCCACTCCATGCATGGCTCTGTCCGCAGGAAGAGCGATGGAGGCGTCGGTGCTGTTGACGCGCTCGACTGGGCGGGAGGTGGGAGGACCTTTGGCAGCCGATCGGCCCAGCTGAGGCCGTTCTCGATGGCCACTCGGAGGCGCAGCTGGTGGATGGTGCTGGGCTGCTCGGTGGTCTGGAAGGACTCGCGAATGCGCTCCATGTACTCCTGGAGTACCTCCCCCATCAGCACAGAAAGGGCCTCCAGCCCCACGCCGAAGATGATGGCCGCCTCACCCACCCACATCTTGGCCTGGTCTGGTAGGTAGAGCCCCCTGTCCTGCAGCAGACGCAGCTGCTCCTCCAGCTTGCCCTCCAGCCGGTCCATCTCCCCCTCATCGGTGATGCCGCAGCCGCTCTCCCACCCATCGACCGACACGAAGTCGACCTCACTGTCCGCCTCCTGCTCGTGCCTCGTGGCGCGCTGCCCGGCCCATCCCTTGGCCAGCATCAGGGCGAACTCAGGTGCGTGGTGGTGTGGGGTGATGGTCCACAGGTTCTCGTCCTCTGTCTGGTCCTCCTCGCTGACGCTGGCCAAGACGGGCAGCCGACCGATGGTGTTGGGCAGCTGCTGGCTGGTCGGCTTGGCAGTGAGGGCGTGGCCCAGGTCGATCATGCGCAGCTCCTCGCATGCGATGCTGCTGTTGCTGTTGGTGACGGTGGGGGCCGGCTCGCGGATGAGCAGCTCCTGCGGGTCTGCCGTGAGCCTGGCTGCCGGCTCAACCAGCCTGCCGTCCAGAGGGCCGACGACCGGTGGGATGCGCTGGAGCATGGGCAGCAGTGCATCGCTGGACATGTTGTCCTCGGCGAGGACGCCCAGCAGAATGGCCGCATTATGCAGCCGCACCATGCCCCGCAGCGCCCGCACCTGGATCAGGGCGACCTCCTTGAGCAGGGCCTGGATGTTGGGGCGATGCAGGTCGGCGCTCCTGCTGACGGCCGTGGTGATGGCAGCGCATTTGGCAGCGATGTCCTTGAAGTCGCCATACTTAGCTGAGTGAAATGCCAAACACACATACAGCACGGTCAGGGATGAGGGTGTTTCTGATCGATTGTTCAGTGCGAGTGTGCAGTGTGTGAGTGGCCTCGTCTTACTCATATCCAGCTTGGGCATCCGAATGGCGAACACCCTCTGCATGGCCGCGACCTCCTGCTGTGTGATGGGGACGTTGTTGGCCAGCGGCGACTTGAACATGGCTGTGGCGCCGTCGACGTCCGTGTGTGCGGCGAGGACGGGCAGGAAGGGCCTGTGGCCCTCAGGGATGCCGAGCTCCTCACACTTGGCCGTCACCGCCTCCATCACGCGCCTCTCCTGGCAAAGCGCCAGCCACTTGAACTCCTCCACCTCCGACAGGCACGCGTGTTCTTCGATGCGCACTGTCTTCCAGATGCTGTCGAGGGCATCCGTGGTGGTGAGGATGCTGGCGTTGTTGCCGCCACCGTGCTCGTTGATGAATCCGGACGGCGGGTTGGGCAGTGCGGCGCCGAACACGGGCGTCTGGTCCTCCTCGTTGACGCGCACCTCCTTCAACACGTGCAACATGATTCTCTCTCACGCCAACAAGGGGCAGCCGGCGGGCAGCCGCGCTGCTCTTCCTTGCAGACGGGTCAGCAGTCTGCATTTCAGCGCACACGCCAATTGCGGCGGCACAAAAATGGCATTACTGAGCGCTTCACTTCACCTGCTCCTTACCTTGTCAGCCCTCAGCAGCTATGAAGCTGGAGATGGCGGCAGTCGTGTTCACGACGATGGTGAAGCGAAGAGGTGGAACTGTGCTGAAAGAGAGGTGTCGGAACGGCAGGAAGCACTGGATGGCACAGGATATTGCACAGGATGGCAATCCATCCTCCGAAAAAGAGTGGCAGTATCTCTCTGTCTCCACCAATTAGTTTCTCGCCCCAGAATTCTCGCCGCCGTCGGTTCGCGCTTTTGGAGTCAGGCGCACGTGATGATGTCATGTGCGCCGACTGATTAGCCTGCCATTTGAGTGAGCTGGCCATGACCCGCTTCCTCGCAGCTGATTGATATCAGGGGATCACAGTGGGATCATGGGGCCTCGTCAAGTAGCACACGGCAGGATCAGTTGTGAACACCACCATGGCACCCACACCATCCGCCTATACAGTCACTCACCACTAAACCACTAATACCCTTCTCTGCAGTACACGGCATACGGTGCAGCTCAGGAACGGCCGTGGGTCACTCAGGGGACGGCCTGCAGCCTTTGGAATGAGGTGCTCGACACGAGCGGGAGGATGTGTGAGGGATGGCCGCCTATGAGGGTCCTCGGGCAGCTCAGCCACAGGCCAGTCACGGCCTTGCCGCACACCGCACAAACATTCCGCTCCTTCATGCACTTGCGCTGCGCCGCGCCCGCCACACACAGACAAACACATGTGCTCGTGAGCCGGGCTGTGTGCCACGCACCGAAGGACGTGATGGACGGATGGATGCTTACGCAGTGAATGGGGTGTTTGTTGACGTGGTCTGAAGGGTTGATGGCGCTCTGGAGCGGGTCGTGCGATACACGGTCAGCGTCGATGGCCACGCCGCACTCTGAACACTTGATGACGGCCTGGGTATGCTCGCGACCTGCACCCACATACGAACCCTCGATGGGAGGGCGAGTAGCTTCTCTGTTCATGATCACACAGACGTACCCAGCTGTCTGATCTCCAGGAAGGGCGACATTTTGATGAAGCGAGCACACTCGACGTGAGACCTCAGACGACGGAGCAACTCTGACAAATACATGCAGACGGTGTGTGGTTCGTCCCACTGGCTGGGTGCTTTGTTCGCGCTTGCTCCCTCACCGATAATGCTCTTGCTCCAACGAATCAGCTCCTTGCGCCTAAAACACCACACATCGCGTTCGTCACACGTACTTGCAGCTGGGGCAATGAGCCAGTGAGTGTATCGACTGACCACTTCATTATGTCTTCATCGGTTGCCAGGTTGAGCATGAGTGTGAGGGCCGTGTGGGGGTCGTTTTGGCTGCGGAAATGAGCCACGGTGGAGGCGAACTCCTCACAACGACACCAATCCAACCATTTGGCTGCACAGACCGCCAGGACACACCACAGTACGGGTGCACACGTCTGCCCTCCATGTCAGTCAGACGTGCGTGCGTGTACCTATGCCGCCACTGTAGCCTTCGAAAGGAGAGGCTGGATACGTCAGGGAGCTCATCATGCCATCATCCACATCGGGGCCGTCCTCCTGCTGCCCCTCTGCTTCCTCCGATGACCGCTCAGCCACACCGGGATTCCCACCGGATTCAGACGCCACCCCTCCCTCATATATCAGCTGTGCCTTGCTGCCCGCACCGAAGGAGAACACAATCGGCCCAGAGTCGCCCCTGCCGCCGTCATGCTGACACCAGGCGAGTGACGGCAGCGCCTTGACGGGGTCCATCGAGTCATGGCAATCGTCAATGTCCACGGCTGACAGGGCGGCAGAGCGGCCAGGGGGACCATTGGCGCGTCTCGCAAGTGAGGGCAGCAGGTTGACCACCGCATGGCACGTTGGAGCCTCAGTGCCGAGACTCATGTGGCGACATCCATCAACAGCAGGCAGATCAGTTGATGGTGGAGGAGGAGAAGGTGCGCTCGCCTTGGGCGGCTGCAGTGTGGCCAGGAACGAGGGCGTCTGGCTGAGTGCGAGGGCGTGGGACGGCTGGAAGGGGTGTGTCGGGGTTGCAGGTGGGCTCTGGAAGAAGTCGGCCATAAGACGAAACGACTGCGCCTTGAGAGGATCTCCGGCCGTCTCGGCGACGGCCGCCCAGAGGTGGCATGCAGCGGGGCCAGCGAGGGCCCTCACCAACCGATCGCCCTCTCTGCACTGGGCAAACGCCACCGCAGCCTCACCAGCCCCCCCGTCAGACCGCAGAGTGGACCCCACATTCCATGCCGATCGGTCGCCGCCGGTTCTGTCGTCCTCTCTGGTGGCATGGGTCTTCTTGGCTTGTCTCCTCTTGCTGTCAGCCAGGTCACTCAACACCCACTCCAGCAGCTGACATTGCACCGACCGGGGCAGCTGGCCGCATAGCCGCTGCTGCTGAAGGGCAAGCAGCGCCATGCCCGCTCGCGGGCCCCTGCCCTTGCCCTCGGGTGTCCTCGCCTGCCACTTGTGGAGCAGCTCCTTGGAGACAGCTTCCATCCACGGTGCGATCGCCGTCACCGGCACGTGGAAGAACATGGCTTCGTTAGGCAGACAGTCGACCGCAATGGCGTGCCGGAGATAATGCAGCGGGTCGGGGGCATAATGCTCGTCATAGTCGCCGTGAACATCCACTCTGGGCAGCGGCACCGTCAGGCACGACCGCACCGCCCGCGATATCGCGTCTCTCCTGACGTACGCCTGCATGCTGAAGTCCTGCGGTGTGGGGGCCAGGCCGGTGTCGAAGGTGAATCCCGTCCTCTCATAGTCTGGGATTGGGGAGGAGGTCCGCGGGGAGGTGTCTGCGGCGCACGTGATGGGCGAGGGGCGGGGAACGGCGGTGGTCTGGATGGACAGGCGCTCGGGGGACCTGGGAGCGATGAAAGGGGGACACGTATCAACAGCCGGCGCCCACGCGATCGACACAGCCCTGAGGAAAACACGCAGAGACCCTGATGAGCGCTCGGTGGGTTGGGGCGGTGAGTGTAGGCTGCCAACCTGGTGTGTCTGAGGGGCTGGTAGGCGTCTGCAATGTCATGTAGGATGACCCGACGATCGCTGCTGCACGAGACGAGGCGGTCGCTGTCGATCCAGATGAAGTCTTTGGCGGCCTCTGTGTGGCCCGTGAAGCTGTAGAGCGGCGAGTGCGGCGACGACAGCTCCCACACGTTGATGTTGGGGTCCATCACCGACGCACAACACGTCACCTGAGTGGGATAACCAGGCCGCCAGCGGACGCAGCGGACGGGACTCACTGCACACACACACAGCCCAATGAAGAAATGAAAGGCAGTCAATAGGTCCAGACCCCTCATGCGTGTCAAGCTTGAGATCTCGTGCCGTACCCGTGCGCATGAAGGCGATGGCTCGGTTGTTTTTGCGTAGGTCCCAGATGTGAATGTTCTGGTCCCTCGACGCGGCCGCGAAGACGTTGGGGTCGTGGGGATTCCACCTGGCGGAGGTGACAGCCTGTGTGGAAACCAGATGGGACCTCTCACGCGTGTAGCCCTTCGAGCTGGGCGGGAAGGCCATGGCGACGTCATCCAACGACGATGAACTGCACCTGCAGATACGGAGCAACATGTGGAAATCGATGGGTCGGTCTCTCGGCTTGCTTGTTGTGTACCTGACGTCATAGAGCACAACGAATCCGTTCTCGAATGACGTGAGCATCTCGTGGTCCGAATGGCCGTCGTAGACACCATCCAAAGGCCGGCTCTGAAGATCTCTGAACAGAAAGGAGGCAGTGAGCATCGGGTATCGCATCGAGTGAATGTCATATCAGTGGGGCTTGCAGTGGTCAGCTGACCGTACGGCGATTCTGTTCATGGTGTTGAATTCGCACGACTGCCTCACGGGTGCCGGGGAGTTCGCCTTGAGGTGCTCGCAGTCGAATATCTTGATGGCACCGTCAGAGAACCCACACACCACCTACACACACAGACACACGGACACAGACACAGACACATCCAACCCATCAATGTGTGTGACCGTGTATGTCTGTTCCTCCCTCCCTCCCTGCCTCCCTGCCTCCCTGCCTCCCTGCCTGCCACCGTACCTGTGATGTGTTCCCGAGCCATTCGATGCAGTGGCCTGTCCGCGTGTGAGCTTGGAACTTGGGGCCCATGTCCCTGACGCCACACAACACAACGCATACACACCGGTGCGGTGCTTGGTCATCCACACCCGCATCGCATATGTCCTTCCCTGCTTCCTCCCTCCATCGCACATATACCATGATTTGCTGAGTTTCTCGTACTTGACGAATACAGAGAGCATGCCGTTGGTGGAAATGGCAGCGAATGCTGTGGGGCTGCGCCGCTTCCACGCCAGCCCATTGACATTGGTGTTGAACCGCCGCCTCTCCTTCAAGCTGTCCTTCTTGACGTCCAGGATGTGCAGCCGAGACCGGCCTCCCACCGTCAGCAGGTTGTGGGGCAGCGGCGCACGGGTGGCCCACTGCCCGTCAGTCAACGTCATGCTCATGCTCCGCCCAGACGAGTCCAGTGAGCCTGGGTGGGACGGGTAGCAGGCAGAGATGCAGGACGGCTGATTCTGCCGCTCGAACTCAAACACCACCACAGGGGAGGACGATGGCCGGCCTAAGGCTCCTTCAGGTGTGCCGCTGGTGGGTGGTGCTGTGGGGTGGACCTGGTTCGCCTTGGCTGACGACGATCTTTTCCCACCATTGCGCGAGGATGCGCTGCTGGGTCGTGCGCTCCTCGTGACAGCGGGCGGCTGGGTGTCCTTGGGGCTGGAGAGCGGCGTGAAGAAGGCAGCGGCGGAAGAGGCAGACGGGGATGATGAACGAGCCGCTGTGGCCATGGCGATGATCTGCAGCACAGAGATGAGTGAGGATCGTGCACTGATTCATCCACCCATCCGCCTCGTACCTCACCTGCCTGGGTTCGTGTGCGTCACGGCAGCCAACAGAGCATCATGAAATCGTCGATGGATCCATGAATTCAGTGCCCACCAGCTGCATGTCCAGGCAGATCCCTTTGCTTTTTCCACACCTCCTTTTTGCGAGCTCAAGCTCGCGAGCAGATGCGAGCTTAGCCGAAGGCGCGAAAAGAGTTCTTCCTTCGGCAGTTTTGACCACTAAAGAGACCGTGACAGCGTCCCTTCACCACATCTTGCCATCTGGCATGACTGGGAGCACAACCGATGGTACCCGCATGACTTGAAGCGTGTGAATCATGTCACGGCGGTACTTCATCAAGGGCCAGGCCTTCGACAGCTGCGCTGCGGCCGCCACAGAGAAGATCAAGGAGGTTGATGCGGCGCTCAAGGAGCTCGGCGACCCTCCCCAGCCCAGTGATGATGCAGCGCACTCCCAGGCCATCCGCGAGAGCCGCAAGGCGCTGATAGAGCTCTTCAACGAGGTGGTGCGGCTGGCCGTGTCCGAGGACAATGACATGAAGCCAGATCAGGCCTTGGAGCTGCTGCATCGGGCGATAGTTATGGAGGGCGGGCAGCAGAGACACCGGGTGATCTATGCCACGCTGTGCGAGGCGCTGACGGTGACTGGCTGGGCGGTGAAGCCAGTGACGGACAACAAGGGGAAGACGGTGGAGCCTGAAACGGGCGAGTGGCGGCGATACAAGACTCTCATCAATGGCATCACCGACAGGGCCATTGTCCCCGCTGCGGTCAAGGGGGAGCTCGTCGACTCGTCGCTGATCGACCTGCTCAAGGGGAGGGCGGCAAAGCCGAGGCTCGGCACGTCACCGACACACATCTACTCCCTCTTCCGCGAGTCGACCGAGGGATACGCCAGAATCATCGACCTCATGGAGAACGCCATCAAGCCGCCAGCCATGTCACAGTCACACACAAGCCCGGCAGAGGGTGGCCTGAAAGATCCGGTTTGTGTGGAGTCGCTGTTTGGCCAGCTGGTGGTCATCAGCAGCTTCTTCGATCTCTGCAGCAAGCGCATCCTGGCCATCCTCCTGACCTATCTGGAGGCCAGTCTCGATGCGGCTGCCGGTGTCGCCGATGGGCAGGTCGTGGCGCTGCTTACGCTCATGGCGGCGTTCCCCAAGACACTCATCACAGACGTGGGCAACAAGCCAGGGAGGCAGGCGGGCGGGCGTCTCTGTGGGAACGATGCATGGTTGTTGTCTGTGTTGTTCTTTCTGTTGTCAGTGTGTGTGTTTCCATTTGGCGCACCAGCAGCACTTGAGCCCCGCGAGTCTCTTCCTCCGCCACCTGGCCAACCGCATCCGCAAGATCCGTGCCAAGAGGGAAAGAGCCAGCAGGGGGGACGATGCGAGCGCCAAAAAGGACAACGGGAGCGACAAGGGCGAGGAGGGAGCCATCAAGGAGGACACACAGACAGACGACACCAAGGTGAGCAGCCGAAGATCCATAAGGGAAATGTGCCCGTATCCATCCGGCTTGATTGATGCCGTGGTGTGTTGTGTTGTGCGGCGTGTGTCCTGACAGGATGCGGCATGGCCTGATTATGATGGTCGGCGTCCGCTGCCGCACGTGTTGGTTCCCCCGACGGAGTCGTTTTTCACGGCGGTGGCGCTTCTGATCAGCAACGGGTGAGTTGACTTAGTCACGACAACAACACCAGACCGCTGTCGAGCCGCCACGAGCTAGCTCCGGGGTCT